AACTCATTTTCTTCTTTTTTTTTCTTCTTTTTTGTAGAAGATGGAGAGATGAGATTGATGGATGACAGAAATTAAAATCGAACCCTCGAGTGTGCTCTGATACCAAATGATAGAAATCTCTCCCGAGGATTGCACTTGAAGGTAGGTGATAGATAGGCTTTGATCGAGAAATTGTCCAAAGAAGGGTGGAATGGATGATGGATCGTAGTCGAAGATGATGAGATAGTCTTCAAAGAATGATTTGCAGATGGATCAATCCCTTGTGTAGAAGTGTACTTGTCAAGAGAATAAACTCTGATTACGATAATGGACGAGTTGCTTACGGAGAATGAACTCCTAGCATTACGATGTTCCTAAGAACAAAGGATTCAACAAATATAAAAGTAAAGTTTATTAAAAAGGTTTAATGATTAAAAAAATACATAGCAATGCTTTTATATAATAGGTTGTGGGTTAGACCAAATGTCTAAAATTATTCTAGGAACTATAAAATACATAACTAAGGTGGACTTGACCAAAGACCACGAATTTTGACCAAATTTGAAAGTTGTGATTGCAAAACTTTTTGCCTGGCCGTGTCCTTTCGCATCGTTGATGGTCTCTCGGTTGTCGTCAAATTGATATATTATTCGACTATTTCTTGTAATTTCTTGTTTGGCTTTTCATTCTTTGGACTGAAGCATGATCATAAGCACATTTCTAGTAAATCTTCAAGCTCATATCGTTTAAACTCAAACCAATAAGGCAAACCCTCAATTGATTTGTTTATTGGTGAATAGGGTTGCATCAGACCGCCATAGAGATGCCTACGCTTCTGAGTCTTCTTCATAAATGAAACGGCTAATCTGTGAGCGAAGTTTGATTCTGTGAGCGAAGTTTGATTCTCTTAAAAAGAATTCCGCCTCAACGATGAAAAGTGTTTGTTAACCCAATATCCAATGGGTTATGGATTAAGCACTAAGTAGAAAACAAAATGTAGATCTGAACTTTATTAATCTATCCAAAGAATAAAAATCATACTCTTTAAGAAAAGCTCTGCTTTGGATCGAAGAAACACCTTGCAAAAGTATACCACCTATGCGAAAACTTATTTAATCCATAGATCGAAATATTTACAAACCAAAAAAGGTAACCAGCAGAAAAGGCCACCCGTCACTAGTAGGGGTGGGCACAAGCCGAGTACTCAATATTTTGATATACTTAATTAGTACTCGGCTTGGTTTGTAAGAGTAGTAAATATTTCACTTCAAGAAAAAGCGTAACTTCTGACGGCCAAATCCGAAGGAAAACGGACAGAAAGAGGTTCTCCTGACGGATTTCCGACGGATATTACTGTCAGATCTATATCGTCAGAAATAAAAAAAATCGGTCAGAAAACCGTTGAAATTTTCTGACGGATTCTACGAACACAAATGGTACATGTGCATAAGTTGGATAAGGCAAATCGAGCAGAGTGTGAAAGCATTTCAAAATGGACTTGCAAATTGAAATGTGGTTTCTTTTCCTAAACCTGAAAAAAAACATTAGCACATAGTAAAATAGAAATCATAAGATAAAACATTAAAATTTACCAGCTAGTATTTTTCTCTATATGGGCTCAGCTTAGGAAGAAACTCTCGTCCTGGTGCCACCAACAGCTCGTTCAGTAACATATCCTCAATATTTGATGTGGGAGCTGGCTGTAGAGGAGGGACACTTGTTCCTTGAGTAACCAGGGAACCCAGACCATGAGATGAAGAAGATGGGAAAGAACTGGCTCGAAAATCTGCATAAGACCTACAGACAATGAGAAAAAAAAATTGATACTGAGAATTAATAGAACTCAATCTTTTTTTTTTACAGAAAAATCATCATCATCACACACATGAAGCATGAAAACGTTTCATCATCATACAGAAAAAATTTAATTTGATACCAAACATACACACGAAGCAGAACAAGAAGCTTTCAACTTCATAACAACTTAATCTACAAGCATGAAAATATTTCAAAAGAAAAAAAGATTCACAGTTTTCCAAACAAAAAAATTAAAATTTTGTTTGTCAAAGAACCATTACAATGAAAATCATTTTTTACAAATCAATCAAAATCGTTGATTGAAACTACATAACAATTAAAATATATGCTCTTTTACAGATATCATTACGAAAACAGTCAAAATCTTAATGCATCTAACAAAATCATTCTCCAGAAGAAAATAAATTTTTACACACGAGGGTTAAAGATATCAGAAACTAGATCTAAAACTAAATCCTCCACGAAACATTGCTAAACTAAACAAACAAGAAGCATAAAACTTACATGTTTTCGGCTAAGATTTTTGAGAGAGATAGATGATAGATGATAGATGTGTGTATAGACAAATATATGATCTACTGGACGAAAAATGCAGAATTTTTGGAGTGTCGATTTTGTAAGAAGCCATAATATAAACTGCAAAGACGGGAACGGAACAGGGTACCGTACCAGCGGATGTGGTACTTACCTATCACAGATAGGCTTAAGAGTTTATATTGTAATCTGAAAAGACTGAAAAAACAATGAGATGGCATGCGGAACATACTCAGAAAGAAGGTGAGATCAATCATTCCTCAGATACAAAAGCATGAAAACATTTGAATTCAGTGCACAAAGATTTTTGAAGCATAATTCACAATGTTTATCATGGGCTGTGCACATATGGATTTAGTTCTTTTCGAATGTGTGGAAGACCATACTAACTTTGGCCAGTCATCATGATGCCATATAATTGGAGGTAGCCGCAGCAAAAAAAGAGGAGGAACATGAGGTAATACATCCTTGATCAGGCCCATAACTGATCAGGACAAACTGAGAAAAGAAAAATAAGAATTGGTGGTGGTTAAAGAGAAGCCAGAACTGGAGGATGAGTATGGGGACCAAACCACACGACCACCTAATCAGAAGTATGTTGGATTAACTGAGAGTACATGGTCTTATGTTCATGAGCAAGATGTATGTTGGATTCAGCTGGACAGAGGCAGAAAGATTCAAGCTTAACAAAGTGGAGAAGCTATGTGTACTAAAAAAATGTTAATTTTGACAACTTCTCCAGACAAATCTTAAACAAATGGAGCTAGTTTACTTCCATCAAAGATGCATAAGAAAACTGGTACCAATCTTTCGTGTGTGATCATTTTCAGGAATCATAGAAAATAATGACAAAAGAAAATGTTATTATTGTTGAAAAATTATGAGTTGGACAACATCTTGTCATAATCAAACCTGCATTAGAAAACTCTCATGCACACAATTTAATGTATTGAAGCTAACTAGGCTCATTCATAACATGTCAGCATATACTATAACGATTGAAAGAGAGATGGTGTTCGTATTAAGATGGAGAGAATATCTGAAGGCATTTTCAAAGAGTCATGCAATGATCTTCTTGTTTTAGGAGATACTACTACATTATGTCAAACTTTGCAAACCTCATTCTTAGAGAATAGCCACAAGAGAGATGTGGACATGTATGTGAAAAGGAAATCAGTTATGAGAAAGGTGCTTAATGCTAATAAGTAAAAGGTCTATCTTATGACACATATAGTTTGCTCCAATTGACGATAGATAGGTACAAGGTTTTTACAACATATTAAATTTATACAAGTTTGCACTTACTAAAACTAACACTGGTTTTAAGAATATTTGGATGTCATGGAGCCAGGGCCGGTCCATATCTATTATGGGCCCTATTCGAAACTGGGCTTCAGCAATATATATAAAAAAAATCAATGAATAGTGCTTTAAGGAAAAACTTGGAAAGGTGTTTGGGCCTTATGCGGCTGCTTACTCTGCTTCCGCAGCGGGCCGGGCCTGCATGGAGCAACCATTTATGTTCTTCTTGAGTGTTTAGATGAGTGGGTATAGAGAAGGGTATTGACTACATATCACCATTGACAACACACTGTCAATACTTTGCTTTAAAAGAGTTTAAGGTTGCATTCAATGTAATAAGAGATGATGCAATGATTTTAGATATAAAACCTATGCATTTGCGTGGTTTTTCTCTTATCACCAGTTTCGTTGTTAATGATGGTTTGTGCAAGATGAGTACGTAAGTGTTGTTGCAATTAGTGGTAGAGAGAGCACTGAGTATTATATCTGGTGTAGAATTTACAAAGTTACCTTTTATACACGGCTGAGAGCTAGGAATTACAAGATAACTGTAAGGAAAATGTATTATATATACATAAGTAGAAAATTCCAAAATCAGTCAATGATATTATTGATCCTTAATACGCCCCGTCAAGATGGAGGGGGCTGGCCACCCTAATCTTCCTTGAGAATATCATGAAGACCGGTCTTGATAATGGCTTTTTCATTGAGCCAGCTAGTTGGTCCTTAGTTGAAATGTGGACTACATTTAAAGTACCATACTGAACTTGATTTCGTATGAAATGGTAATCCAGAGACACATGTTTCATACGAGAGTGAAATATCAGATTGGTACATAAGTATGTGGCTCCAACGTTGTTACAGTAAATCGTGGGAGTTTTCTGAATGGGTATATCAAGTTCCTATTAGTAAATATATTATAAATTTAATTCATCATATATATTCTTCATCCTTCTAACCATTTTAATTTTCATTTTTATTTTTTTATGTTTTTTTATTATCTATAACTCATCCTTATTTTATAGATATCTTATATAATATAGATATGGAATTGCAAAAAAAAATAAAAAATAAAAATAATATTGAGGAATTCTCATAGTTACTTTACTTTATTTTTACAAAAACAACCTCCAAAGAAGAAATTGGCCAAATGAGTTCTTATTTAAGGGTAAATATTTTACTTTATGTATGTTTTATCATTATCCGCTCAAATACACATATTCAAAATATAGATTATGAGAAGCTAAAAAATCAGAAACATGCATTTTATTTTGATAAATTAAATAAGTTGAGAAGACACTAAACAAACAAACTCCTAAGCATGCTCTTTCTTTACCATCACAAGATGTTTGAAACTTTACTGTCACTTAATCCATCTCCTCCAGTTTTATCTTCTTAGATCCACCATGGATATCGTTGCTTAGTTTGCGATATTTATTTTTAATCCTTGCATGATACCTCTCATCTCTTTCTTCGTTCGTCTCATTCTTGTAGTGAGATGACATATGTGCAGCAAATTTCTGTGAAGTGTCAAACACACCATTGCACTTGGGACATGTATATGGACCGTATTTCTCATATGGCAAACTATGTGTCCGACCATCATATTGAACATCTTCACTTCTCTTTCCTTTATTATGATTGTAATAATAATTACATGTTTCATGAGGTTTGGTTGGTTTAAGGCATTTCCTTGACGATTGACCATATTGTTGAACATGTAGGTCATGATTATGCTTTGATGACAAATAAAACATGTCCAGATGCTGACGATAAGCAGAGTTTTGGTCAGGGATGACATTCAAAGGTTTAGGGTTCAAGATCCCATAATTCTTATCAAGAAACGCTGGAGGATGAAATGTAGAACGATTCAACATATTGGTGCTAAAATCCATGCCATGTTGAATATGTGCAATATCATTTTGGATATTGGGAATATGATTGGTAGGAAAAATAGCATAATACCTATTTCTAATTGTTTGGGTGAAAGAGACTTGAGAAAATTGAGGATTATTTGTAACAGGAAAAAAAGCAGCACCAAGAGCAAAATCACTTTCTCTCTTCATATGTGAAGTTTTCAATCCAAAAGAAGAAGAGACATGTGAATTTTGGTAGCAAGAAAAAGAAGGAGATGAAGAGAATAAACCTCTATGGTTCACGTGACCAGAGGCCGTGAACATCGATTTAGCTGTTTTGGAATTATGATTCTTGAAGTTGGGAACAAAACCATGATATTCTGTAGTATCATCAACATAATGGTTGAATCCGTTTGGGGCTGAAGACATTTTGAAAGATAGATAGTATTTTACATGGGTTGCTTATGCATCATTTTATACAACGTCTATTAATTAAAATAAGCTAAAAAAATCTATATTTTTTTTTTAAACTATGAAAGGAAACATATCTACTCTAATTAAAATTTTTGGATTATATTATTTATAAGAAATATAAATTCCTTAATTGCTTATTAAGTTTTCCAATAATATCTCTATTCATTTGATAATAATATATGGATACAACAAAAAAGTTGATTTGTTGTCATTTATCTAGATTCGATAATTAGTCTGAAAGGTAGATGATATCTAAATCTAGACTTTCCGTGTTAAGATTTTAATGTTATTTACTTTATGATGGATATGCATTTCGGTGGATGATTGTTGTTTTATCATCCATCGTAACATATTGTGGTATATCACACACTATTAAAAGTTGCATATCCTTAAAGGAGATGATGTCCACCTAGATAAAAATAATCGACCAATAAGATTATTTCTTTTGGCCATGTCACATAGCTTGATCCACTAAAGGGCTTCACGTTTTAGTCTCAGAAATGTATCATGGCCATTATCCAGCCCATCTTCCAAAACCTTCTCTCCTACAATCGATGAATCCGATTTCATTCCTAGTCTTCGTCTCTGTTCCCTGCAATCACCGTTACCACGAATCCCCTTCTCATTAATCAATGTTCCTCTTCAACTCCTTCTTGATGGTTTAATTCCATCCCCGTTGATCTTCTCTTCCTCCTATATAAGTCACTTCCTCTAAACCTAGATCTAGACAAAACCTAAAACCTCCCCTTAAAAAGCTGCATCTATGGCAATGGAACAGAGGTAGTATAATGATATATGGTGTTTTTAGCATATTCTAACAATGTTTTCTAAAGTTTTTTTGAGTCTTTATCGAGTCTTTTTAGTCCTTTTTAAGTCATTACAGGTATGGAGTTGCTTTGGATGGAAGATAGACCAGTTGGAGAAAAAAAAGTGCAATTTGGGAATTTTCACGCGGAACAGTCTCGCGGAACAGCTGTTCCTGCGGCAGCGATTTTTAAGGAAAATACAACATATTTCGGGATTTGCCCTAATTCTCCTATTTTTCTCTCCCAGCCGCCAGCAGCCTCCATATATCTTCTTTTCCTATTTTCTACATTAGACTACGCTACTTTTTACCAGAAAAACTACTCTAGAGCTTTTGGATTTCATACTTTGTAACTTTGAGGGAGAAAAATCTCTACAACCTTTGGAGAAGATTTCTAAACCCTCTTACTTATTATTTATTGATTCAGACATGTTTTCTTCATCTATTGACTCTGTGATTTCTCTGTCTATGGCTGAGTAGTCACTTGTTAGGTTTAGGGTGTTAGGGATCATGGATCAATGAGCTAGACACAAATAGGATTGTTATTCTTTGATATCTCTATCTATTGCTATACTTACTGCTTGTGTTAAACTGGCCATTCAACATCTGATATCAGGTTTAATCTAATCAAT